AACGGTATCGATCGCCCACCATCTTGCCCGATCTCGGTATCGCAGATTAAAGGGAAATGGGAACACGGGTAAAGACCGATGATCGAGGAACTTCGTCGGCGAGGTTTACTTTTATCGGGAGGAACGACGGATTGAATTTCAATGTTATTACGGATAAGGAGAATCGCAGAGGAGAGAGAGAGAGAGAGAGGAAAGTAAAGAGGTAAAGCCTCAAGAACTTTACGGATTTCGTTGGAATTTGCAGAACCGTCTCTCCACGACGCGACTCGCGAGAGCACGTTATTATTTCATGGCTTCGCTGCGAATATCGGCCGATATTTATCGAATAGAGGAGTTCCGTGTACTCTAATCTCTGTGACTTTATATTAATGAACCGTGCATATATTAATTCGTAAACTTGCACCTATAAGCCCCAGAGGCTTATCTTATAGCTGAGCGTGGCGAACATTAATATATCAAACACAAAGTTATATTATGGCAGAAAAGCACAATGGGCGCGCAAAAGAGCCGACCAATATTCTTCCTCCATTTTCCTTTCACTTGTATTTCTTGTTTAGTAATGAGAGTTAGAAATATATGTTTTTGAAAAGTTGGGTTTTAATGTTACAATCAAGTATCAAGCGAGTAACGCTCGAACGACGCGCGCTGCCGGCGCCAGCTAATTATAATTGCTTCATAAAGGCGCGAAGTCCGCCGCGGAGTCGTCCTTTGGGCAGTTCGCGCGGATTTACGGTAGGTACGGGTATCCTCGAGCGCAGCCCGAGACGCCGCAATTAATGATCCCGTTAATTTAATTAATGCTCGCCGTAAAAACCGCAGCCGGTTACGTTCGCCGGAAGTCGACTTCGGCCTCGCGGCCGGGGAAAAACGAGTGCTCCTCGCTGCGAGGAATACGAGCGAAATAATGTGCCGCCCTGCCCGAATTAATTATATATGACGTGTAGTTGCAGTTACCTCTAAATATGCCGTACACACGTGCAAAGCCCCCCGAGAAGACCCTCCCGGCGCGCGCATTTTTCTAACCGTAAAGAGTGAAAGTAAAAATCAGGGGAGGGGGGGAGACGTTCTTTCGGTTAATTGTGCGAATATCGAGAGATTGTGTGGAATTTTGAGCAGAGGTGAGTTCGTTGAAAAACTTACTTTCAATACTACACAAGTTAACGTAATAATAACTGCATAGATATTTAGCGCGCTGAACGTCGGAAAGTCATCGAGAAACGTATCCCGAGCGATATCAAATCTCTCCCGAGCGTAGACCGACTTAGAATTAAAGGACAAAAAAAGAGAGAAAAATAGATAGAAGAAAAGAATCGTCGCTATCCGTGGCGGCCACCTGTACGTCATGGAAGATAAATTATGCTCGCGTAATAAGCTGATTAGGAATTACATCACGTAATCTAAATTACGCGCGTTATTTAGTCATGAAATACCGCTCGCACGCTTCTACTTTCATGATTCATTTAGGATTATCATACCTGCCGAGAGAGGCGAGCTCGCGTTCTCGCTACGCATTTAATACTGGATGTGGCTGTCTAATCCCGAGGGTCAACTTTTTAATACCAAAGCTAGTTGGCTCGCGCGCGCGCGTCAGCGCACGATAGGGATCGGATAGTCACGTACACAGCGCTAAAAATATGTCGTGCCCGAAATGGCATCACTCTTATCGTGTTCCCTCGCGCGGGCGATTATTCTTAAGGCAACAAACAGCCGGGGTAATCGCGGGCTCGCTGTCGCCGTAAGAGAAAGCACGCTTGAAAATCCGTCGTCGTCCCAGCGCACGTCGATTTGCCGTCACTTCGTCGTCGTGAAAAATTTCGCCATTTCACCGTCTCTCTCTCTCTCTCTCTCCTTCCGCGAAACGATCGAACGACACGCCGTACACACGTAGCACGTTCTCGTCGTTCACTTAAAGGATTGCGAAAGCGAAGAGAACGAGGTGGCGGCGCAGCCGAGCTAATTCGTTTCCACGAAGGAAATTACGCGGCGTTGCATGCGACTGCAGTTGCAACGCGCGTCCGACCGAGTACTTCCGGAAATGCAGTCCGGCGTTTTCCCACGATACTTTCGATCCGGTGATTTCAGCGCACCGGCGACGCCCGTGTCACCTTTTTGCGCGATTAATGAACTAATTTGCGCGCGCGCGCGCGCGCCGCTTTAACGGCAATTAGTTTATTGACGTTTCGCGGGGACGAGAGAACGCGACAGAGAACGAACGGGGCATGGAACATCGCCAACGACAGCTGATAAAAAATCAAAGAACGGTTTAACTAATTATTAAGCTAATTTTCCAATTAATTGAAACGGACAGATCGTCAAGGTGGATCGTTTAATGTTCGTGTTTCATTTCTTTTTTAGCTTCATTCGCATTTCGTATTCAATCGTATTATGTCGCTTCATTCGTATTTCGTATTCATTCGTGTTATGTCGTGTGAAGAAATAGACAATAAGATTCGGAGCAATTCAATTTCTATTACATCATCTTCCACGCTAGAATATCAAGAAAAAGATTCAACGCAGGAATAAATTTGGAACAAAATGAAAAATAATAATAATATATAAAAAAACTAAATAAAAATAAATATCTCTCCAACATACTTGTTACGTGCGATAAAGCAATTAGAATCGGGCGTCAGTAGCTGATTTATTCGAAGACTCAATTCTTGAATTCGACGATTAACTATATAATGCCTCGATTCTCGAACGCAACGATTGTCACAACGATGATATTCGCCTCGCCGACCGGCACCGAAGGAAAATGGAAACGATACGCGAAATATGAGGTCGTTACGCAACGCGAAGAGAATCGCTCGTAAACTTCCAACAGTCGCAGAATTCTCGTAATTAAAAGTGCGTATACGCGCGCGCGCGCACGCGCTCCCGTTAATGACTTTACGGCGGAAACGGAGAGAATACTGTCGCTCGAGGAAACGAATGATATATTGCCCGCGTCCTTCGTATCCGCGGAAGTACTACGAGTTTTAAAGCGGCACGCGCACTCTTCTCTACTACCGCGGTGTGTTCGAATTTGACGAAGCGAATTGCTCATTTAAGAGAAACTGAAGAACAGCGGTGCGTGTTTAGTCATGAATAATTCCTTCCTTAAAGGTAATTCTGAAATTTCTTTTTCAAACCTCGACAAACCGGTGGCGAATAATTATTTATAGCATTAAAAGACAATAGCCTGTGCCCGAGTCGAAATTTTAGTCCAACTTTAAGTCTAATTTAGTTTTATATTAAGTCTTCATAAGTCTTCTATTGTGCTCCTTTGATGTTACAAGTGGGAAAGTTATTGCCATTTTCTCCACTTGAAAACTTAATGTAGAACCAGAATTTAGACTCTCAAGGTCTCATTCGTAGTACTAAAAGAGCACTTACTGTACTCCTTTGACGTTACAAACAGGAACATATTTCAGTTTTCTTTCCTATGAAGACTTAACATGGAATTGAAAATTTCGACTCGGGTATGTAGCGTTATACTTGGAGATCCTCCAAGCCCCGGATCATCCAAGTTCAACGGATTCTACAGACTTGATGTAGAACCAAAATTACAAGAAGACTTCTGGGAAAAGAAGACTCGTCGTACTTCGGCATTCAGAATTATTTAACTTTCGTCCGATTTTCTCTCTCTCTCTCTTCGACGAAAGAAAAATTCCCCGGTGTTCACCGGTTCGCCGGGAAACCCCGGTGACTACCTGGCGACTGTCCGCGCGGTTCGACAGACCGCAGAGTTTTAGGCTCGCTCCCGAGTATGTCGCGGTCGATCTCGAAAGTTCACAGGCTCCGACCTCGGCGTTAACTCGGCGAAGTTAAGATACTAGACCAGAGGGGGCTCGTATCTCGGGCTTTAATGGGAACGGGACAAAGTAACCGCGGAAATTCCGCGCGGCGAGATAAAACGGGAATAGAGCGCGAACCGCGCCGGCAACAACTTTTAAAACTACCCCGGCCGGGTAACGTGATTTACCGTCGATGACCGCGCGACAATTCTCCCACTTTGTTACTACGGGTTAATTACATGCAAACAATTAATTAACCGCGCGCGCCCATCGGCGCCGTTTGTCTTCGCGGATGCCGCCCGCCCGTTTCTCGTTATCGCGGATTATTTGTCGTCGCGTGTCGCGTCGATCCGACTGATTCTCACGACGGATCGCTTTGCTCTTTCAACGTCAATTGCGTGTAACTCACTTTGTCGGATTTTCAAGCGCGAAGCCGCCGGGGCGTAGCGCTAAATCGCGCCGACCAAACCGAAGATTTTGCACATCGTGTGAAAAAGGAGCGGGCAAAATGGCGAAAATTATTCACCGATCGATGGGAATCTCTCTCGGTAACATCGGAACCGACCGGCGTCGACGAATTCCTTTCGCGAATGTTAAATCACGCGATTTGCATTTGTCGCGGCGCAAAGGCGCTCGGTCGGGCCTGGCCTTTCGGGCGCGCGATATATGTAATTCTATCGCGCGCTTGTAACGAAATAAAAGTTTAATCGTGGAGTCCGCTTTTTTCGAAGTCCTCAGCGGCGAAGCGACTCCTCGCACGCCACCGTTTCGCAACGACAGCGTAAAATCAGATATTCCATTCATATTTGTTCAGACAATGCAAATGTATAAACTTCGCATTAAACAAATACGCGGTATTACAAGCGGCGTAACGACGTTTGTCGTCGCAAATATACACGCGGCGTTAATATACCCGAATGTGAAGATGAATAAAAGAAAATAAATAAATTCGCCCGCTGACCGATTCTCAATTAAATCTTCCCATCCCCTCCGCTACAGAGTAAACACGCGCTCGCGCGTGCTATTTCATTACAATAATATAAAATTTTGTATTCCGTGGCTGTATTTACTCACAAATGTATCCGGCTTCGCTTTATCTCCGCGATATCGTGATGCGTAGTGAGAGGGAATGAGGGAAGGAGCGAGCGTGTGATACACTCTAGCGTCGGATTAATAAACGAGGTAAGCGTTATAAAATAAAGCGGAGGGCGTTCGCTCACTCACCGACTCTCCATGTTGCACTTGCCCTCTTGAATCTTGCAGTTGTTCTTGAACTCCTTGTACATCTGGGTGCAGACCTTGTCGCGTCCGCAAACGCTGAGCGCGTGATTGCAGGTCGGCAACGCGTCTATCGAGAACTGATCCTTGTCTGCAAAGATACGTGCGACTTAGTGAAACGAGTGAACAAGCACAGAGAGAGAGAGAGAGAGAACAATGAAAAGGTTAACCGAACCGCACGTTCAACGCGGCAGACATCGCCGGTACACTCGCGTATTCGCACGGGATAAAAGTTTCTTAAGTTCGAAACGAGTGGCGGCATCACACGCGCTGAAATCTCGTTAACCGCGGCCACGTTGGGCCGTTAACGCGAATTATTACGCTATTTACCTATCGCGGTCAAACTAACGCCGCTATGGTAACTAGTTACCCGAAATTAACGCGTTCAATGCCGTCCCGATTTCGATTAACCGTTCGAGAACCTAATTAAACAACGCAAACCCGATAATACGCCGAGTAAATAAGCAATTTTTAACGCGTTACTTGGTTTGAACCCCGCTGCCGCCACTTGGCACGGTACGTATTAAATACAAACGCATTAAATACGATCGGATCTTATATGTAAATTAATTAGGTGCGTCGCGCTATCAATGCGTCGATCACGGGCGTTGTTAGCCTGCTCGAGGTTTAAATAAAGTAACGCGCAATGCAGAATCGTGAAAGAGAATCATACACAGCAAAAAATCTTGTCTCCAAATGTTATAATTTTATTCTGTTATCAACTTTTAATTATTATATCAATATAAAATTAATATATAATTGACACGTTACTTTCGTGACGTTTTCATATATTCATATTTATGTAAATTTAATAACTTAACATTTCTTTTGTGTATCGTTTAAAAATGAAATATTATTTAGAGCTCTCTTAACACAATTGTTTGGTTAATTTAACATATTGTGTTTGTTATCTCAATATTTTGCGCTAAACCGATATTCAACATGTATAAGAGTTACTCTATATTAGGAATAATTTAAGTCAAAATAATTAATATCATATGCTCGAAGGAAAAGTGTTACTGTTAATTCATTAACATTTTCAATTTGTGAACAAGGGACGCACGACGAATGAGTTACTTCGACTCAAAATTCAGACCGGACTTTTTAGGACACGTAGAAAACGCTGAAATTAAAATTTTATTTTTTACTGTGCATCCGCAATTTTCATTCTCCGAATTTTTCCCGCGATCCTTTCCTGTTGCTGAGTTTTTCCCGTGTTTTACCCCGCGTCCTATTGTCGCGAGAGTATCAAGATTGCTCACTTATCTGTCTGGTCGCAGCCGATTATCAATGCGCATTTCTCTAACCGAGAGCGACCATTTACTGCTTTGTACCGTTCTCTCTCTCTCTCTCTTTCTTCCGTTCGTCTTTTGTCAAGGAAGTGAAGAAACATCCAGTCACTCTTTTATATTTTCCTCCCCGACGGCATCCTCTTTTATTTTATCGTCGAGGCACTGTTTCTGCTCTCCTCACTCTCTAGAATTCTATTCTGCGCGCAACTCGTCAAATCAAACGCGATCGGCCGATGATAAGCCGCGGCTATCTCTCTTCGCAGTCGATTTGTATCGCCACTTCCTATCGGAATTTGTTTTATCTTCCGCCCATATCGTACGGCGGGCAAACGGCGATCGAGACGGATCTTCCCGTAGGAAGATCTAACGCGCTTCTACTTTATCCCCCTGAAATTTTCTTTCGTTCTATGTCGAGAGATAAATATACGTACGGTGTCCGCGCGAAAGTAAAATAAATTCGCGAGAGAAAGACAGAGAGAAAAGAGAGCTCTCTGCCTTCAACAAAGATGGCCGTGCGAAGCTTTTTAAAATCTTCAGCGACTTTTGTGATAGCGCTTGTAAAATTCGCGCTGCGACTTCTCGCGAGATTCCCTTAAAATAGTCCAATCCGTCCCACAGTGCGCTCGAAGCTTCGCCAAAATTTACTCGTACCGCGCGATATGCACGCAGGGTACCACGTACACAATTTGGCCTGTGGTTCTCGCGGCCTGGCATTCCTTTTTTTTTTTTACCGCGGCTCGCCCCTTCCGCTTCCTTTTTCGAGGTACAGGAGCGAATTTAATCTCATTAAGTGCCGAAGCTTCCTGGTTTCGTAGCGCCGACCGCGCGCAGCGGGGTTTCCATTATCCGCCACGCTCCCGTATGACCGGCTTTTGGCAAGATAAATGTAATTAAGCCGCGATCCGGAGCGACCTAATTGCGCGACTTATTACCACGTCGAATCATGCCCCCCTTCCCCTCCACCGTTCTTAGTGTGTCTTGCGGATTAGCTCGAACTATCGTTAGATAGTCGCCGATTCATGTGATCCGACGGCCGATGCTCAGGCACATTTATCGTCGGACGCGATTTGTGAGAATGAGGAGAGAGATCGTGAAAGGGACCGCTTGATTAGACTTCGATCGAATTTTAAATCCACAAATCTCTGTGGATACCGTCAAGGTGACAAATATCAAGCCTAGCGATTCGCTGAGTAAAGCCGAAGTATCCAACCGTCAACGTCTACTGCAAAGAGTTTCTTTCTTTCTTTCTTTTTCATTCTTTTTTTTTTTTTTTTTTTGTTAGACACGACCATTTTCTTCCTGCGACGGGAACGGCGATAGAAAATGCAAGAAAAGGGGAAAAAAAAAGGAGGAAAAGAGAACAACGAGGGACACAGACAGGGGAATGAAGCGAATGAAAAGAAGCGCATCGGGAATTATCCGTGAATCGTTTGAAAAAGCTCAAAAGAGTCGGCGGCGCGGACGAGCGAGCCCTCGGGAAAATCAACAATGAAGCCCGTAGGAGCGAAGTTATATAGAGTGGCGAGGTCAAAGATACCGCGAGGCTTTTGTTTCACCGGTCCGCCCTTAAGGAGACCGCCCGAATGGCGCCTCTATCGTCGAGGTTACGCTCTACGCTGTTTAGAAAAGTCACCGAGACGACACCATTGAAATTATTCGAACTCCTCTCGCGGAAAAACACGGGAGTGTGTCCCTCGCGAATTTTGGCGGGCTTTAAATATGTTACAGAGCGGCTGAAAATAAACGATGTATTTTTCTTGAAGCCTTAACTTTCGACCGCACGTTTCCGAAAAGTCGCTCGCATCGCAAACAAGTCGTATTGATCCTATCCGTGACTTTCTGAATTCCATATTTGAAAAACTGTGAGGAACGAAGTTGAAAAAATTCTACAATAAAATGTAACTTTTCTACTTTAATGTTTGATCGTGTATTTATAGAAAATCAAGTTTTAAGTTACTGAAAAAAATTCGAATTTATTCCCTAATTTTTTGGAGTGAGTTCTATTCCACTCGTTTGGAATGAAGATATTGCTCTAACCTGAAATTCACTCCGAAAAATTTAGGGAGCAGATAGTGATCGCGAATGGTACACTTTATTTAAAAAAAAAAACCATAAATTCTTTATTTCCTATTATTTTAATCCGCGATTCAAATGTACGTATGAGTTATAAAATGTATCAAATATCATAAAACCTTTTTATCTAAAACATTTTTTCATATTTATCACGATTTCACGAGAATATTTCTTCACAATTAACTTTATTGGATTTCCTTCGAGGGATTGTTTCATTTTCCGAACGTACGATAAGGCACATATACAGAATGTTTTATTTTCAGCCGCTCTACAATATATCCAAAGCTTGTTGAATTGGCACTTTCCTACGCTCCTTATCGATTCGCGAATATATATGTGTACATCATCGCGGTTGTTTACGTATTTCTTCGTAGCTACCATCACGCTGATTAACAAGAAGAACTTTTAATCCCCATGAAAATGAAAAAGCCCTCGATGTATAGTCAAAGAGAAGAAACGAGCTTCGTCGGATAGTCTCGACCGTGGAACAACGTGTCGAATAACGCGGTCCGGGAAATTAAATCAGCGACACGCACAGTACGCACGCTGGAGAGCCGAGGGTGAATATCTCGCGGCAACGTATTCAACGTACCCTTACCTTTTTTGTTGAGGACGTAGACGCAGGGGTGGTCAAACAGGAAGTTCTGGAAGCTGTTGCAGTCCGGATCGACATGCGGCTCCCTGCAGAGGCACGTCGGTCGGAAGAAAGTGAAAGCCTGCAGCGTGCGCAGGGCTGCCTGACACTTAGTCACCGTCACCGTCGAGCAGGCCACTGCAAACGCGAAATTATTATTAAAGCGACGCGACAATACCGCCGGGTTGGATGACAAATCGCGCTCGCGGATTTTAGCACGCGAGCCACCGCGGTCGTGGCTGTCGCGCGCAAAATACGGAGCGCACGCATGGCGCACGACGCGGATCGACCGATGGCACGCCGCGCATAAGTTGCCATTTGGTGGAATCGCCGAGTGTTTTACTCGTCGGGATGCAACTGGGTGCACTGATGCAAATGTGACTATCTCAAGCTGCGAGCGTGAAAAACCGACGACGCGATAGAACGGACGCGTTGCCGAATGGGTAATGCGATCACGCGTTCTCGCGCGAATATTATTTTCGAGGGCGATCCGTCGATGCAGATTGTTGTGAAACGCGATGACGAGGGACCTCCGTGGAGCGATTAATCTCTCCATCGATCCCAGCCGCCCTCCTACGCAACTTCGCCTCGACGCTAATCCCCGCCGTTTTCGTCGACAATGATTGAAAATCGTAGGACGCGCGAAATTCCGCCGAACCGTTGCCGACCGTCACGTTGAAAATGTGTGTCACGTTGCGGAAAATGAGACAGAAACGGGCGAGGTTAAATGCATCGATAATCCCATAAATAATTACATATATGTGTCTCCGAATTTAAACGGAAATCAAATAATACTTTACTCTGATCTAAAATATATTCACCGTCCAAATGTTTGTTTTCACTTTATTAATTCCAGTTTCCGGTCTCATTTTTACAAAATTTTTAAGATTTCGAAGTTCTGTCAATCAATATGTCACTTATAAGATGACCGATAAAAAATTTGACATATATAATACGTAACTATGCATATTATTATATTATCGCAAAGATTGATTAAAGTATTGCATATAGCGCATGAATACATTCTCTAATGTATAAAAATAAAAGCGATTTAACGTACACGCGACCAAGAATAAATCTGAAATAGTCGATAACCGTAACATGAAACCAGAATGTATCGTGAAAGATTGATTTGGACAATTTTCTATGTAAAATATTCCATATATAATTAGTCATCGAAGCGATAACAATGGATTATCATGTGATACGTGTATATCGCGAATAGGATGCGCCGCAAGCTATATGGAACGCGCACAAATGCGACACTTCGGATTATGGCTTATGTCCGCCACACGGACGACACTGGACTCAAAATAATCGCGAAATCCAGACGAAAGTCATTATGCGGAGTAAATTTATCAACGACGCGCCATCGCCGTTGTGATGTGATAGTAACAATTATTTGCCATAGTACACATTCGTGCATTAATCGCCGCAACGAGGTTGTGACATTAATGTATGCCATTATTACAGTATCCACGATGTGGTCCGTTTAATCTATTTATCATTGTCACTCGATACGTCGCACTATGTGTTTACCGGATTTAGGACGTACGTGCGTGACGTAAGAATTGCTAAGAAGATACTGTAAAATACCAAGATACCGGAAAAAGTTGCAAGTGAGAAATTCTCTAACTATAACGTTTATCATAGAGTTCATCCGACGCGGATTAACGGCGCGGATAATGAATATTACGTAGTTTTAAGATTACTGAAAGCTGTTCGCGTACTTCCGACGATCTTTCGCGAAGCACACTTATCTTTCGCTTCGACGCGACCGAAATGATTCCGACGCTTCGAGCGTCCGCCTTCGAAATCGGCTCGGGCTTCATTCAAGATTCCGTCGCTCGCGGCTTAATTAGTACAACGTCGTTCGGAGAAAGAATGGAAGCGAGAGGGCGCCTTAATTACTATCCCGAGACACCGTAAGTTTCGTAATAACCGAGCGGTGCCAGACTATAAGTAATGAATCCAGATGTCGGCGTCGCCGTCGACGTCGTCGTTCTCGTCGTCGCCGAATGTCAGACAGAAAAATGACAGAGTGGCAGCGCAAAAGTTTCAATTACATTCTGATGTTATCACCTGCCGCTTCTTCATCCCTCCTCGATTCATTCCGCCGGTTTCCAATGTTTAACCCCATCCCGGACCATTTCTCCCGGCGCGCACCCACGTCCCTTCATTAAACACGAAGCAAGGCACTTAAAAGGGAATATCTCCGGCAGTTTGGAAGTTACGAAGAACGAGAGGGAGAGAGAGAGAAAAAGAGAAAGGGAGAGAGGGGAGAGTAAGAGACAGAGAGAGAGAAAGAAAAAAAAAGAGGAGTCTCGACGAGGAGAGTTCCGAGGAGCTAATATTGTGACAGGAGGGTAATCTCTCTCACTGGGTCAGCTGTCCCGAGTCCCCCCGAGAGGAATACTAATTTACATCGGTCTGCCCACAAATGGAGCTGATTGCGCGATTTCCGACGTGATCCACTAATTAATATTTGAGAGGTTGGAAGTCGAGTAGAATCTCTTTCTACCCTGAATCGAATCCAAGAGCGACGCTCGGGCGCGGCGGTTCAAGTATCACCGGAAGTATTCCCCCGAATTACACGCGGGCATTTTATTAACTAGACGAAGCGCGACGAATTAACGACGAGGCGAATCGAAATAATATTTCATAGTTGAAGTGTGATAAAAAGATACGACCGAAAGTAATGACTCGCGGCGCGCAAAAGAGAAAACGAGTTTCGGTAGTTTCAAGAGAATGCCTATAACCACTGATATCCAACTAGATGTTGTAACAACGAAAGTTTGCTGCGCATTTTATTACTCACAATGAAACAACCCAGAGCGTTCAAACGAATTTCCGGGAACTCCTATCTTTTTCCTAATTAGCGACCCGTTAATAGTCTCAACTTAATAATTAATTTACGCCGCCGAGAGCTTCTTAATAGTTTCCTCGATGGGTTAATTAATTATTTATGGAAATCCTATCAAATCGAATATTGTATTATATGAACTTTTCGAGTGGGGAATTGCGGCCAATAAAATGTCGTTGAATTTCGAAGGGTCACTTCGTTGAAGACGACGTAATTAACCGACATAATTAACTAAAGAGACGTGTCCTGCTTTTTCTCTCTACGCAATTACAAAGATAAAACCCGTCACTTCACCGGTGACTATCACCATATAATTCTCGAATTACGTAATTCTTAATCAAGATTATTACATATATTAAGACGGGAAACTCGTCAAAATGAAGAGAATCGTAATACGTCCAAATGACTATACGCGTAAGTAGTAGCGGTAAATGGAGAAATAAAACACGACAGTTCAAAGAACGTTTTCAATGGAAAAATTCATCCCATATAAGAAAAGAAAAATGAAGATAAGTCACCAAAAAGAGTCGAAGTTGAAAATGAATTGAAGGTTTCCACCGTGCGAAAAAAAATACTTAAAGATATTGATAACATAAAAGAGTAATCGCAAGATTAAGTAGAATTGCTGGAAGACGCTTTGTATTTGTCGGTAGATTATCGAGAGCGAGCGAGCGATCGACGATTGGTTTTCGCCGCGTAGTGATTTTTCATATTATTAAAAACACTCGATATTCTCCGTTATTTGCGCGTATTCCTATGAACCGCCGGTTCTCGCGAAGATACACATCTATTAACGCGAACGTGCTGCTACGCATGCTTACGTGGACGGGAAGCGGATGCGGACCCGGGGAAAAAAGTCGGGACGGGGCAAACAAACTATCGGCCAGCGGGAAAGTCGGGAGAAACGGACTTTTCGTTCTCGTGTATGCGAGCGGCAAGAGAACGAGAAAATATGCGCGCGAGAGCAGCGCGGCTTTGAATTCGGCGCCCGACTATCACTTGCAGGCGCACGTACCGGCAGCTGCGTCTGACGCATTTGTGCTTTCGAACAGTTGTAATAATTAAATCCGAAACGCATCGCAATATAGCATCGTGCATTATTATAATTTGTAACTTACTTTCATCGGACGGGCGGGAGTTGCGCGATTTCCGAAGGATTTTTCAGAAAAATTAACATCCACGTTTTTACTACGCAAAATAGCTTCATCAAACTTTGAACATAGAAAACGCCTCGAAGCATTTGCAACGTTAAACGGGCCGCAACGTAGATCTTCAAAAAAAAATCGCGCGATATCTATCTGATAAATCAAAACTTAATTTTTCACATAATTCTCCTCACAAAGCTCGCTAAAGAAACGGCATCCGTTTAAGTTAATAACATACATCCTTTTTGACATAATCGTGTATCGTCACAAAAGCGCCTCTTCATACCCGCGCGCCAGTGTTCGCGTAGATCAATTTTTCTCGATCGTGACACGTACAAGCCCGTTGTTCGCCCGAGGGTTAAAAACCGTGCAAAAATGTCTTGGCGGGACAATGTCCGAAATAAATAAGGCTCGACTCGTCCCGCGAGGTCCTGCTCCGCTTTAATTATCGGGATGTGTATCCGGGAACATCCCGCGCGGTGATGAACGGTGCGGCGGCTCCATAAAAAGCGCGAGCGCTCCAGAATCGTTCTACCGTGAGCCATAATTCATGGATGGGAAAAAAACAGTATCGGGAAAAAGTGTGGCAGAGAGTGCGAGCGAGTGAGTGAGTGAGTGAGAGAAAGAGAGAGAGAGAGAGAGAGGGAGAGAAAGAGAACAAGTGCGAGAGGGGGGGGGGGAGGAAGGGGAGAGAGAGAACGAAAGAGAGAACGGCAGGCAAGCCGGGAAAAGTTGCAGTCTCCACGCCGAAACTGACGACGCGTATTCTCTCTTCGTGGGCTCACGCTATCTTCCACCCTCCGTCGCTGTCGCCATTGTACTCGAGGGTCGTGCATGCCGCTTTGGCATAACAACGTACATTGTACTTCCGAACAATGCTATCCTTCTGCCAGCCAGTACAACCCCCCCCCCCTCCGCGCACCGCCGTCGCCTCCGCCATCGCCGCCTCCGTCGCTCCCGGTCTTATCGCGCCGCGGGCGTTTGTCCCTTTTTTTCGAGCCGGCCTTTTTCGGGAAGATAAACGACACCACGATTGACAGTTAAGGAGGGTGCGAATGGCCCGTGTCATTTCGAACAAGTGTCATAAAATCGAAAAATTGAACAGCTAACCGCGGGCTTTATTTTCTCCC